GGGGAGTCAAATCCAATCTTGCGCTGTGTGTGGAGATTGCATGCTTTTTTCTGTATACTACAGTACAGGCCCACCCTAACCCTAACCCTAACCCTGCGCTGGGTAAACAGCATGGGAGATGGATGGATTAAGCACTTTTACTAATATGGTACTAATGACTAACACTATTAACAACAACTAACCTATTTGTGAAAATGGGTGCCAGTGGGTTTCTGTGGAAGCTCTAGTTACCCACACACCTCATATAGCTCACAGATATGGGAGCAGCGGAATGGAACTCAATAGGCTTCTACTACTACTGCAGTCACCCAGCAAACCAATGCCACGCCAGTACATTAACTGATGTCTCTAAGTTGCCTATAGTCTGTGATTGTGTGTGTGCCCCACAATGTACTGTCATCCTTTCCAGGGTATCCCCAGCCCTGTGCATTCTGGGATATGCTCCAGACTCAGCATAACCCTGAATCGGACAGGCATTATGGAATATGTATGGACGCTTGAAAATCAATGGGGTGACTGATTACTCTCTGTGGGTACGAATAAGCAGAACTCCGATGAGTCCCCCTACCCCCTTGTGATGGTGAAGGGGCGCACTGTGACAGCTCTGAGGCTTCATTAGCGTCATGGGGCAAAATCAAATGTGCAAAGCGTAGCTGTAATATCCTCCCATATTCAAAGTTCAATTAAAACTGAAATAATTCCTTAATGATCCCAAACATTAGCGTTACATCCGGTGATTTTTCGCATGTCTTTGCCCCAATCCGACTCATCCCAGCGACTCGATCGCTCAGACGCTGCTTATAAGGCTTTTTCTTTAGTTTTACATAGGCACCTTCTGGTATTAATGCTGCCCTTATTGCCGGTTAATAAACTAGACACGTCTTTGTGGTCCTGAAAGGCAAACCATCGCACAAAGACAGGGAATGGGGAAAAGCCGGCTCTTGACAAACAGAGCGGGGGACAGCAACACGCTCTTCAGCTCGGCACAGTGGCTTTCCTATGCGGCCTGCCCACTCAACGGTGGCTTGATGGTCGATATATTCAGTACCGCTGTCTTATGGAACCCGGGGTATTCCTGCTACAGTGCGTAACCTGCTTCGACATTGAGCCCCTCGCCCCGCTCAGAACGTTCCAGAACATTTATCAGTGGCCTTGACATCTGGGCGATCTGGAGTAACATCTACCCCTGACGGCCGTTGAGTCTCCACCACCATCCCAGTTACTGTTCCTCGCCTAGAAATTCACCTTAATAACAATTTGCTTTGACTTTCACGTTTACAAGCTTGTGAGGGGCCGTACCGGCTCATTTTATTCCTTGGGATTGATTCACATCTGGACCAGTGGCTTCTGGATCTCACCGCCACGTCCGGAAAGTCCATCGCAGGCCCAGAGTTTTACAGAATGTTCTTATGCTGTTTTTTTTAAAAATTTGATTAGTTTTTAATTGCCTGCCCCATTATCTTTGCATAATCAGTGTTTGTTTTTGAGGTGTTTTGGTATTAAGCATGTCATCCACTGCTGAATAATCAGGCAATCAGGCTAGCCGGTGTTAAGGCGTGTTCCCCAGTGCCGCGAGTAGGCCGGTTTTCAGGCATACCCTTCCCAGTGCCACTGGCCGACTGGAGTTAAGATGTGCCTTTCCCAGTGCCATGGGCCAGCAAGTGTTAAGGCATACCCTTCCAGAGCCACAGGTTGACCAGGATAAAGGCATACCCTTTCCAGTGCCATGGGCCGGCCGGTGTTCAGGTAAGCTCCATCCAGTGTCAAGGGGTGAGCAGTGTTCAGGCATAATCCTCCCAGTGCCATGCGCCAGCCAGTGCTTCCTTAACTGTTCACCATTCGCTGTTTTAATGAGAAGCCCCCTCCCCATCACCCCTGGGCCCACACCCGTTCCTTTCCTCCAGGCCTGATTATATGTATAAAAAGGTGTCTGCAGAGCTCCCTGGTGATTTACAGGTTCACACGCGTCGCCGCAGCTATGTGAGGGGGGGGGGGGGGGGGGGGGGGGGGGGGGGGGTCAGTGTCACAGCCCAGTACCATCTAATGAGGTTCCACTGCTACGCTGCAAGCCGCCCGTCGGCTAAGGGGCTCCGCTTTGCAGGAGGTGGTGCTCCTCCCCCTGCCCCCCCCCCCGTCCCAGGCAGATGGGAGGGTGTCTCCAAAGGCCCCCCCACCACGCCTTTAACCAGCTGGGGATCCTTTGCTAGGGGGGGGGGGCGTTTTCAAAGGTCACCGATCGTCGGCTGACGATAAGGCGGGGAGCCGCCGGGAGCGAACTGAGCGGGGCCCCCGACGAGATCTAGGAGACGTTTGCAGGCGGCCCCCGAAAATCAAAGAGGCAAAACCAGGAGAGACACAGCCGAAAATACAGCCCTGTCTGTTCGGATAAAAAGGCACCCCTGTCTGTGACGGGGCCGCGGGAAAACCGCTTCACTTTCACTTACAACAAAACTTTTGAGTTGTGCCTGCTTCCCAGTCTCTCCTCTTCCTCTCCTTGCCCCCTCTATTTACAGATTTATTCAGATAAACTCCAATTTCATACTCCCCCCCCCTACCCCCCGGATCCTTGAAAATGTCCTGCCAGTCTTCCATGTCTCTATCTCCTGTGGTACCAGCAGTCAGGCTTCTCCGCACCTTCCGCAGCGTCTATTTATACCTCTGGATCGTGAACGGAGCGGACTGGCACCCTGACCCCCCAGCCCCCCCGTCCTGTTGCGGGGCAGCTGCAGAGATCCGCGGAAGCCTCATGGAGGATGTGCCGGGTTTCCTGCCAGCTTGGGTCGCTCTCGGGGTCTCTTGGATAAGATGGCTGGGCCACTGCCAAAAGGAGGGCGTCAGGGCACTGACCCCCCCGCCCCCGCCCCCGGCTCGGGCCTAAAGCATCTTGGAAAAACCATTTCCTCTCACCGGGCAAGGGTCCTGGGCCTCCACGGGAAAGGGCATATGTGTTCTCCTCAGCCCGCCAGCGCCCAAGCCTTGGACCAGGGGCTCCGGAGTGAGATCAACCCCCCCGCCCCCCCCCATTTTTTTCAAGGGAAAGGAGAGATGTCCTCCAGCGTGGCCCAAGCCACCGGTGAAACAGGCGATGGACGTGTCCCTCCATGGCAGTCGGGCGGAGTCCCCCCTGACCGACGTGGGATATGAGGGCATCCAAAGTGCCTCTGAATTTTAGCCGGGGCCCATATGTAGTTTGGGGTGGTGTCGAGGTG